TTTTTTTATCCTGTTTCATTTTTTTTTTTTTTTTTTAATAACTGGAACGAAAAAATCAAAATTGTATTTAATTATTTTCTTATTACGAATAAAAATTTCTTCTTCTAACAGTTTCTAAAAGTATTTCAAGTATATGAATATCTAAAATATATTACTAACTATTATTTATTCAAATGAATAAATAAATTAAGAATTATTGCGAAATGATCATATATATTAATTATTTTAATCTATTTAAAATCTAATTCAAATTAAGAAAAATATTATATAAAAAGAAATATTAGTTTCTTAAAATAAAAATTAAAGTGTTATATAAATTACCGTAACAAAAAAAGTAACAAAAAAGAATGTTTCGTTCCGTTCTAACATATACATGTGTATACGTGCATGTATGTTATATTTATACTCCGATTAAAGTAGAATTTCGTGCAACTTCGCCACCCTTCGTCTATCTTCGTGTGTGTCGTTATCTTTCGTGCAAAATACGCGGAGTGGAAACATACTTGACGTTCGCGTGTGCGTAACGCATGCGTTCACGCAATGAAGGGATAGGTACATATGGTAACCAATGGTACGAAATTCTCCGATTATCGGACGAGTCGGGGCTTTATCGGTTGCACGGGTCGCCAACGCGTGACCGATGACACGGTTCGTTCCGTCGTTCCACGCGAACATCGCGAATCATGGACAATCGCGATACTTTCTAGATGTTTACTTTTGCTTTTTTTTCTCTTTTTTTTGCTTTCGCTTCTGCCTTCCCTTACGATTTTACGAAAATCGAAAAATGGCTTTTTGCTTCGAGGAAAATATTCTGGAAAAATTGGAATATCCATGTAATAATATTACAAATAGAATATAATAATGCGAAATATTCGAAACGCGATGCGACGCGACGGCAAATCCTTGCCAATATCGATACGCGCGAACAATTTTAGCTTGGATGATTCGTTTGCCGAGCATGTGCCATGTGGTTGATTGTCGTGCACAGTATCGAAAGAGGCATTGATATGCGACCCTGACCTAGACAACAGCCGCACTTCCAATCTAGTTTTGTCTACGCGCGATACAGAAGGAACGATAATATACTTTTATGTATTTAGTCGTGTTGTTCCGGGACCGCAAAATTTAGATAACTCCGACGGCAAACGGCGAACGCATTTTAGTTAGCATCGAACTCTCCATATGGATAGATCATACGATCGAGTGTTTCGTTACGTTTTCTCGTCGGACGATGTTGCCGTCATACGCGATTCGGGGCGGCGATATGACCCCGATCTATCGAAGAAAGAAAACGATTTCTTGGAACCGCTTGGTTATTTCGCTCGCGCTAATGCGGGAACGACCACCGAATGGAAAATTGTTGTTTGGTCATTTTGTTTCGTTTTATTTGTTTAATGCGATAAAAAAGTCTGGCCACTTGCGATTCGCGATCGGTATAATTGCCGAGGATCGTTATTTTTACGCCGCGTTATTGTAATAACGACGGTTGCCGCGATAACGGTCGCGTCGAGTGCATCACACGCCACAATCTCGCCGAAGGACTCGACCAGTTCAAAAGGTCAAGTCGGATTGTTTTTTTTTATTGCGAGTATAACGTCGCAGATCCCTCTATATTCGCATGAACAAAGATGAAAAAGATGGAACAGTTTTTTTCATTACGTGCGCGTGCCTCTCATCGCCACAACGCAATCATTTTCGCCTCTGTTCGCTTCCCGTCGGTTCCCATCTTTCCGCGACTAGACTCGTTCGATCGCCCGT